GCATGCATTGTCTAAAAAGGATTAATGCCTGCTCATCTACTATTTGAGTTGGTAAAGCAAGACATCTGGCATAAATACAGAGATATACACCACAGTCATAGTCATTTCCTTTACCCTGCTGTGGGATTTCATCTTTGCCATTGCAGAAAAAATGCCACTTACTCAGGTCAACATTGGTGTCCAGCCCTTTAAGGACAGATGCCATTTTACCTATGGCCTTCTGTGTTGGAGGCTTAACAAAATCCCCAGGCTTACTGTCTAAAACCAAGACAATATTTTCCTTTGGTTGTGCTACAAGAAGAGTCCAGTGCTGAGAGGACCTCCCGTTGCATGGGACTATAATCATATCTGAGGACAGGGGGGAGCTGTGACTTTTTTGGAGTAGCTCTGAGATTTCATTGGCATTTCTTGCTTCAAAACTTTCCCAAGAAACTGTTATAATGTCTATTCCATTTTCTTTGCTTGCAATTTGAATAAGCTTCATATATTCATCAATTATGAAATTGGTTAGCCATTTGTCTGTGGATGTAACATCTGTGGCAGACTTAGAAACAGTATAGACTAAGCTTTCCAAATCAGAAGGCGCAATCAGTTGACTCCCATTGAAATCAATCAAGCCTTTCAGGACAGCCTCAACTTCATTTAATATATACTGGGGAGGGTTATATGGTGTTGATTGGCTGAAGACAGACCTAAGATTGTCTGGTAAACCCATCTCAACTGTGCACTGATGACATGTGTCATCAGATGAATTTCCATCTGAAGACTTTAGGGACTCTTTAACAAACTCAACATCATCACTGTCCCTTTCCTCTGAGTGGCCTAAGTTAGAATCTTGATCAGATTCAACATCGAAACTGTCATCTAAATCTTCTGCTTCATCTTCATCATCAGAATCATCATCAAAATCACTTTCAAGATATGGATAAACATCAAACGCTAGGCTTTGTGTGGCTGTCTGGGTAGTATAAAGGCGACAGGTAAGGAAACCCTCCCCATCAGGCTCGATACAGTGAAAACGAGAGATACCAGGAACTGAGGGTGCTTCAGAGAAACRTTTATTCAGACCTAATGAAGCCATCTTCTCATTAATTTCTTTCTCTGGGATAAAAGTAACCTCTACATTCATGGTAAGGCTGCTGGCCACTTGGAAGAATGACTGTGCATTGTACACAATGTTGGAATTTTCAGACATCACTGCATTCCATACAAGACGCTTTACTGTTCCACCAATGCCATCCACAGCACCCTTCCCATGTGAGGTGGCAAAGTAATTCCACTGGATATGAACTAATTCTTCTAATTTGTGTAAAAAGTTGGCCATAAATCTGTTCTTAAATTGAGAGCTTGGCCCATCAGAAAAAATGTAAACCTTGTTGACTCCAGGATGCCTCACTTTTAACCCTGAGATCACTTCCCACAAAAAGACAGCCACAGCCTTCTTATCGTGCTTCAACTCATCTGAAATGATAACACGTGATTCACATTTTCTGTCACCCTCTTGTTTTGTCCACATAGCTATTGTGAACAGGGTCACCTGATTCTGGCTCCAGTGAGCTGACTGAATTTCATCCTGATATTTACAAGTGTAGTTTTCTGCAAAATCTATCTGCACCACAGCTTCATCAGTATCAATACTTGTAAGTTTATCCTCAAAATACTTTGATTGCTTTCTTTTCAAAAAGACGTGCTCAAGGAAATATGGGACCTTCTCCTCCAAGGATGACAATGCTTCCTTAACTGTGCCTTCCTTGCAAAGTTTCTGCATTTTTTTGATAATCTTAGATTTATTCTTGATTTTTCCTGGCACCTGTACACTCACTTGCTCCCACTCATACCATGTGACAGCTGAATCCTCATATTCAAGCTCTTCTAGCCAAGATGGACAGCAGGCACATTTTCTCAGCATGCATTCTTCTGAATCAGAATCAATGCAGACAAAGTTGTTTACAAAATCACCAGAATAGCAAGGGAACCCTGTTATTTCTTTAGACAAACAATCACAAAGGAGTTTAATGTTCTCGTGGTACTTGCAAAGGCACACATTTCTTGGCAAGTCTGATGACAGAAGCACATTTGTTGGTCTCAATAAACTAAATTTGGTCAATCCAATCTTGATAGATGGGTTTTCCTTTAAAAAAAGAGCATGAGCTTCTTTCAGAGAGTAAAGAAGATGACGTTTCTGGAGATATTCCTTTCCTCCCTCCTTGTTACGGCACACAATGACATCTTTCCTTCCAGGAGACTGCCTTGACACCGAGTCAAGTAGGTAAAATTCTTTCACTTTTGCAGCAGTTTCTGCAGAGATGCTCTTGTTGCCAGAGGTCTTGCTTTTCTTGGGTTGTATTCCAGCAGCTGAGGCAAGCTTCACAATTACAGCTTTCCTCTTCCTTGGGCTCTTTGGCAGATAAGGCTTGACTTTCCCAACTGCTTTACCCAAGGCTTGAGGAGTGCTATACGCCCCAGTGTGGTCTGGGATATCTTTGCCAGAACCAGAAGCGCCATTTGACTTTTTAGCCTTTTGCAATAAACGAAATTTCCTAACACGGTCTCTGTTTGCCTTCTTTTTCTTTTCAATTTCCTCAGGAGTTTCAGACTTTGGTTTCTTTCTTGCAAGTCTTTTCCTTTCCTTGTCATTGCATTTGTATACATCATATTTTTCTTTGTCTTGTTTCAACTTACTTCGAAAAATCCTTGACCTATCAGTATTTGATTTGGGCATCTCTGTTATGAAATAATCACTCTAAAAATGTCATGTTTACTAAGCTTATTACAGAGCCAAAAGATTGGAATTAATCCTGTTCAGCAGTATTT